TTTTCAACGTTTTTTATTTATTTTTGGGACAGAGAGAGACAGAGCATGAACGGGGGAGGGGCAGAGAGAGAGGGAGACACAGAATTGGAAACAGGCTCCAGGCTCCGAGCCATCAGCCCAGAGCCTGACGCGGGGCTCGAACTCACGGACCGCGAGATCGTGACCTGGCTGAAGTCGGACGCTTAACCGACTGCGCCACCCAGGCGCCCCTTAAGTTACTAGTTTAAAAGCACCTTTAATAACACTAATATCATCATCATCAAACTGCCACCCAACAAGCCTACCTTCTTGCAAAAAAGTTAACTTAGATAACACATGGCCAAGTTTTCTGACTAATGCTGCATCAGGTAAAAATCTTGTAGTACTGAAGTCAAAAAAAACTAATTGCTTAAGATTCTGAAATATGTTCATGAAGCCAAGCCATCCATCACTGCTCACACAATTTCCTGCCAAATCCAGCTGCTGGAAGTTTTTCAGAGGTTTCTTTTCAAAGAATGCACCTGGGTGAAAAAATAGAAGTAAGTATGTTAGAAGTGAAATAATTTTTTAAGAGAAATGGCTGTTTGACCCAGTCCTTTGCTTCAGAAAGAAATTAGAATTCTCTATAGATAGGGCAGTGATTATCAATCTGTTCCATTATGTTTACAAGTTATATTTGTCCTAAAGTGTAAGGGAATCTGATAGATAGTAATTAGTAGCAATATAGCAAACCAATATAAATGAATTACATATTTTTTTACTTTTCCTGATTCTTCCAGGAAATGGAAAATTGCTTTAAAATTAAAGTGTGAGGGTCACCTGGGTGGTTCAGTCAGTTAAGCATCCGACTCTTGACTTCAGCTCAAGTCGTGATCCCAGGGTCATGGGATTAAGCCCTGCATTGGGCTCCACCCTGAGCATGGAGCCTGCTTTTAAGATTCTCTCTTTCCCTCCCTCTGCCCCTCTCCCACACTTGTGTTCTCTCTCTTTCTCTCAAATTAAAAAAAAAAAATAAGGTATGAGAGATGCTATTAAATATTTGTCACTGGTTTCAAAACTAGGGTCAGACTTCAATCTTAAGTCATTTCCTCTTCTTGAGAAGCAAATACTAACTGTTGTTTCTTTGGGTATGGAATGTTCCTAATCGTAAGATTAAGTGAGACCCTTTCAGTATCTCAAGATTTGGATCTTTGGGATTGCCTTTTTTTTTTTTAATGCACCCTAGGCTCTTCAGGAACTTCTTCCATTCCTTACAGAATAGGGCACTCCTACAAAGAGAAGGTGGACATCCTAGCCATGAAGTCAAAGTCAAACTCTAAGGAGTAGAGGAGTCAAAAAAAGTAGGTTTCTGGGTCTGAAAGATTGCACAAAACAACACCCACCTGCCTAGACTTCTCGCTTTGGGACTATTAACAGAAGAGGGAAATAAAATTCTGTGTTCTGTAAGCCATGGTGTAGGTGGGTCTCTTGTTATACCAGCTTAAGCCTATGCCCAGCCTAACTCATACGTAGGGCCTCACTTTCTCCTCTCTTCCTCCTTCCCCTAGGAGCCCTTCTTTATTCCTTATAAGCAGCTTTCTCCCTGCTGTCTTGAACTTCATATTCATATCCATTCAGGCTCCTCCCCTTTTTTCATGTGCTTCCCAGCATAGCATGCACTCAGCCAAAATACTGGTTGCCACTTGTTGTGTCTCTGTATAAGGCTCCTTCCCTAAAGAGTAGCTTTTCTCCTTCTCTACTAGCAGGAGAACAGATCTTACCAACTCACAGGAACTTAACAGAGTAATTTAAAGCCAGAATGTTTTCCTAAGTGGATGGGAAGAAGGATTTCATCATGGCTTTGATTTGCATTTCCATGATGGCTGATGATTTTGAGCATCCTTTCTGGCTCATTGATGGTTTATATATCTTCTTTGGAGAAACGTCTATTCAGATCTTTTGCCTGTTTTAAAAATTGAGTTACTTGGGGCGCCTGGGTGGCTCAGTCAGTTAAGCATCTGACTCTTGATTTTGGCTCAGGTCATGATCTCATGGTTTGTGCATTCAGGCCCCACATCAGACTCTGCCCTGATGGCACAGGGCCTGCTTGGGATTCTCTCTCTCCCTCTTTGCCCCTCCCCTGCTTGTGCTCTGTCTCTCTAAACAAACAAACATTTTAAAAATTGAGTTGTCTTTTTATCAATGAGTTGTAAGAATTCTTTATATATTTTACACAATAATATAGAAAATAATGATTTGCAAAGTTTTTCTGCCATTCTGTGGGTTCTTTTTTCACTTTCTAGATGATGCCCTTTAAAGCACAATAGTTTGTGATCTTGATGAAGTCCAGTTTATTTATTTTTTTCTTACTTGTGTTTGGATGTCCTATCTAAAGACTTTGCCTAACCTGAAGTCATGACAATTTACTCCTAGATTTTCTTCAGAATTTTTTATAGTTTCAGCTCTTACCTTTAGATCTTTGATGCATTTTGAGTTAATTTTTTTGTATGGTATGAGGTAGGGGTCCAAAATCATTCTCTTGCCTGTGGTTATTCAGTGGATATATCTATCCTTATTCCAGTACCACACAGTCTTAATTACTGTAGCTTTGTAGTAAGTTTTAAAATTGGGAATAGTATGTATTTGAGTTTTGTTCTACTTTTCAAGATTGTTTTGGCTATTCTGGGTTCCTTGAGTATTCATATGAATTTTAAGATTAATTTGTCACTTTTTGGGAAAGAAGCCAGCCGAGATTTTGATAGGGATCACACTGAACCTGTATATCAATTTGGGGAGTATTGCCATCTTGGCAGTATAATGTCTTCTACTCCAGGACCATGGGATGTCTTTCAATCTATCTCTTGTTTAAAGTGGGGTGTGCCAGGCTTTCCATTGTAAATTTGTAATTTTCCCCTTTTTAATTGATAAATATCATAGGTGAGATACTAATAACCTTTTTCTCCTCGAAGTTTTGCCCACTGATTTTAGCTTCTGCCAGTTGATCTTTCCTGTAACAGTTACTACTTTGAGGATTCTCTAATAGTGAAACTAGCCAAAAAATGCCTCTCAGGTTAGTTTTTCTCTTTATGGAAAAAAGTTTAATTATATCTTCCATTTATATTATATCTATGGATTATTTAGATTTTCTCCTGATTCTTGAAACAGTTTGGTAAATTATATTTTTCTAAAACATGTCTTCCTTGTCTAAGCTTTCAAATTTGTTTGTGTCATAGTTGATGGGTTTCCATATCTTTTAAATCTCTGAGTTATCTATAATTATGACTCCTTTTTTGCCTTTGTGTGTGTGTGTGTATGTGTATAACAGAAGCAGGGGAGGGGCAGAAAGAGGAGGACAGAGGATCTGAAGTGAGCTCTGCACTGACAGGCTGACAGCAGCCTGTCTCACAAACTCACAAACTATGAGAACATGACCTGAGGTAAAGTCAGACACTCAACCAACTGAGCCACCCAGGTGCCCCAATGCCTTTGATTTTTTAAACAAACTTTACTTTTTTAGAACAGTTTTAGATTTATAGAAAAATTGCAAGCCGTACACAGAATTCCCATACACTCCACACTCAGCTTCTCCTATTTTTTAAATTTTCTATTATCTTAGCATATCTGTTATAATCAATAAGCCAGTATTGATACTTATGTCGATAGTGTATTGAGATTTCTTTAGTTTTTACCAATGTCTTTTTTTCTGTTCCAAGATCCCATCCAGGATTTCTCATTACCTTTAATCATCATGTCTCCTTAGGTTCTTCATAGAACTTCTTGTCTTGTGACAATTTCTCAGACCCTCGTTTTTTATTACCTTGACAGTTTTGAGGACTTTTGGTATTTTGTAGGAGTTGTCTGATGTTTTTCTCATGATTAGATTGGGGTTATGCATTTGGGGAGGAAGATCACAGAAGCATAGAGTACCATTTTTATTATAGCATGTCCAGGGTGCATGCTGTCAGCATGATTTGTCACTGCTAAGATTCACCTTGATCATCTGGGGAAGGTGGTGGTCAGTTTATCCTCTGTAAAGCTACTCTTCTTCTCCCCGTTGTATACTATCACTGAGGAAGTCCCTATATGCAGTCTGCACTTAAGCAGTGGGAGTTATACTCCACTTTCTTGTGGGCAAAGTTATCTACATAATTACTTGCAGTTCTGCATGAGAGATTTATCTCCTCCCCCATTTATTTATTTATTCAGTAATTTATTTATGTCACTATGGACTCATGGATATTTTATGCTTTGGGATATCATCCAATTCTTTATTTTATTGTTTCAGTTCCAGCTTTAACTGCTATGAGCACTTTTAGTTGGTTTCTGTGTCACTTTGACTTCCTCCTGTTACTGTGGGTGGTTTTTGTTGTTTGTTTTTTGTTTCTGTTTTGAGCACTTCCATACTTTTCTCACACTACAGGATGCTCTAGGCTTATACATTTCCTGCCCTAGTCCTAGAATCAGCCATTTTGTCAAAGTGCCCTGGTTCCTTTTATTACAGAATGGTATTAGATTTCAAGATCTGGGTACAAGGAGTGCTTATGGCTTCTGAGGTATCATTGCTTCTAGGCCCTCTCAGCTGACAGAGCAAAGAATATGTGTATGTATATGTGTAACAAAAACTCAATTCATTCTACCTCCAGTTTCCTTCCTGTGTGTCTCCTTTACTGTGCATACAGAATACTTCAGACATTTCTGGTCATCAAATGTGTGGAGGCTTTTCCCCCCACCAGGAAATTCTGTGCAACACCAGGTGGGTGTCCTACAAGTTAACTCAATTCTAGCACTGTCTACCTGGAAGGAGTGTCAGGTCCCACAGGTTAAGGGCTCAGTCCCACAAGACTGCTTCCATCCCACTTCAGATGCCAATCACAAGTAGTAGGTCCCCAGGTTATCCACAGCTTCTGTCTGCTTAAGCTACAAATTGGAGGTTCCCATATGCTCCTCCTCATGTTTGGTTAATTTAGTGTTACAGGAAACACTAGAACTCCAAGAAACACTTATATTTACCAGTTTATTAAAGAATATGCAAAAGATACAGATGAACAGCCAGATGAAGAGATACATAGGGCAAGGTCTGGGAGGACCCTGAGCACAAGAACTTCTGTCCCCATGGAGTCTGAGGTGCATCACCCTCCCAGTGTGGCTTTGTTTGCCAACCTGGAAACTCCCTTAATCCTGTACTGTTGGGACTTTATGTTCAGTTTATCATCTGTAAACCTACTCTTCTCCCTTTGCTAACTATCACTGAGAAAGTCACTATCTACAGGCATGATAAATTGTTAACTCGGTTTCTAGCCCCTCTCTATTCTTTGGAGGATGAGGGGTGGACATGAAAATTGCAAGCTTCTAATCATGGCTTGGTCTTTCTGGTGACCCATCCTGGAGCCATCCAGGAGCCCACCCAGAGTGTTATCACTTAGGAAGTTACAGAGGTTTCAGGCATTGTACCAGGAACTGGGGGCAGAGACCAATATTTATTTTCTATTATTTCACAGTATGCTATATATATTTTTTCTAGATGTAACCATATATATTAATG